CAGCAAGGTCCAGGCTCAACCCCCTCCGAAGACACCACCCTAAACCGTGCACAGGTTAATGAACCTCTCTGAGCCTCAAATCTAACTGAAGGGATGAATTATCAGGAGCACCAACCTGGCTGCAGAGTGTTGGTGCTGTATAAATGCTGTATAGATGCCAAACATCATGTGATACTTATTACTAGCTTGAATGCTTTAACCAAGAAAAGAGACTGGTTACAGAAAGTTGGCCATTAGACTATTATAAGTTACACAAGTGTTTTATTTAAAAAGACTCGATATGTTGTATTTCTTAAAAACAGGAATGCTATACATAAAACCAGTCAAAATGTCATCGAACTTCTAGAAAATATTCTACATCATACCTACAGTAAGATACTAAGACTTTGCTGGCTTGCAACTTTCAATCCAGGAAATGAAGACAGAAATTGATGTAAAATGTGTCAGCCCTCATCCAGACCAATGAATTTGTTCTTCGTGAACAATTTGGTAGGATACACATGAATGATTTGAGCTAATTAGTGGCCAAAATCAGATTTTGAGGAGTCATACTCAAAAAAGACCAAAGAAAAAGAAGAGTACAGTAAGGAAGGGAAGAAATTTACTCTTAACTAGAAAAACAATGATTACAACAAGCAGTTCCAGCAGTTCAAACACATTTAGATCTAAGGTTCCTCCCCCCAACACCATTTTAACTGCTTCACTGAAGAGCCATGGATTTGAAAAAACATCCAAAATTGTTCCACATGAAGAAATTTTCTCCCATAAAACACCCAAGGTCATTCTTTTAATGGAAATCCTTTTGAAGCTGTATTTAAACACATTTAAAAAATAGTGTAATAAACACAATTTATCATTTTATTGTTGACTCTGGGTCATCAGCTGTAATGTTTCTGAGTTATACAGGACTTTTTATCCCTATAGGAGATGGATCAGCACTAGGTCTTATACCTGCTTTTTTACAGTTTATACTTCCAATTGCTTTTCTACCCAATTTTCTCTGATTTAGATAACCCCAAAGTGCCAGAATTACATAAAGTACAACCAGGCCAATCAAATACAAGCACTATATATAACATGAGACTTTCTGAAGTCTAGCTTGGCTTCTCAGGTTTCTTTTGCTTAATTTTTGATTATATCCTGGGTAAGTGAAAGCTTATTGACTAGGTTAAGTTGTCGTATTCACTTCAATAACTTCTGCTCTAATTATATCCATGAAATGTTAGTAGGAACTAATGATGAAAGACAAAAATAAATTCCATGTCCTAACTGAAATTATCTGCATTATTGTCTCATTGTCACGGTTTTTAGTCTGGGTTATTTGTTAGAAGTTCTGGCAGTTTCCAAATCAAACTGGACAGACAGGCCCAATGACAATGTCAGTTACTGGAGAACCAGTCTAGATAATTTGAGAATTTTTAGGCCAATGCTCAAAGACTAAGTTTGGGAAATTATTTAATTGGCATTGGGTGAGGGAGTGCCTGCAGTTATAAAATCATGGATTCTTATGGTTTCAATTAACATAGCAGTTCACAAAAGAATTTACAGGTTAACCATCTTTCTGTTCTCAAGATAACAGTTTCTAATAATTAACTTTTATGTATAAATCAGGATAGTATAAGCAAAGATTCTATGAAATTGAAATTATCAGCATGATAGGGGAAAAAATGAATGGAACTAGTAAGCACCTGCTATGAGCTCAGCAGGGAGCTAGGTGCTGTTATCTTCTACAACTGAGGCAAAGTGTGGATCACAAGCAAAAGCATAATAAAAAAAAACCCATTAAGATTAATGTTAAATATAGGAATTCTGCATGGGAAAGAGAACCCAAAGTAACAGTGCTTTTTTGCTTTTGTTTTCTGTGAGTCAGAGAATTCACCAAGCATAACTGGGGCTTTTTTCAGACCTCAGTAAGCTGAGTCGCTATGGCCAAAAATTCCCTGTCTTCTACCTGTTGTTCAGTCCCGTCGGATTCTTCATGATCCCATATGGGTTTTCTTGCAATTTCTTCGGCCAGCTCATTTGACAGGATGAGGAAACTGATGCAGACAGGGTTCAATGACTTGCCCAGGGTGGTCACACAGCCAGTTTCTGAGGCCAGATCTGAACTCAAAGTTGAGTCTTCCTGACTCCAGGTCAGGTACTCTACACACTAGCTGCCTCATCTTCTACATATAAATGGTCAACTGCACACTTCCCTCTCCCTTCCTTCTTAACCTCTCCCTAACACCCCCCTACCAATAACCAAAAAAAGGACTTGCTCTGCATAGCAACCAAGTCTTCCTGAGCCACTGGTACCACCTGCTGGCTGGCACTGAGAACTGATTCTACCAACCCTTCCAAGACCTACCCCCACCCCAAGTTTATAGCTTTCTTCCCCTATTTACAACTGTTAGTTCCATCTTGGGAAACTTCTCACAGGGAATTTCAGGGAAGTTCCTTCTATGGGCCACACAAGCTAAGCCTAATCAGTCATATCCCAACTAGTATTACTAGCTTACATTTACACAGGCCCTAAGGTTTACACAGCAAGTTACCTTCAAAATAAATAATAAAATTGGAGAGTTTAGTTTAATTAGCAATGGTACAAAGTTATGAGTACTGTAGATTTTCGTGAGTCAGGCCAGATAACTCTTTCGATAGGGAAATATATTCTGTAAATATAATCGAAACAAATGATAAATTAACTTTTGGAGTAAACAGAAGACACTTCCTGCACCTGATTACGTACTCTACACACAGGGAGGTTATAGGAGATTTTTTAAAAAGCTATGGATGGTGTCAGTAATGACAGAGAAACTGCATTTATCCTACATCTTATTGCTATCTTTCCCTACCTCTATGAACATCCCATCCCACACAATTGCACAAATTCAGACTCCTTATAAGGTGTTCTTGGACACCTTATACAGTCCCCTACTAGGTTCAGGATTTTTTCCACTTGCCAATTAACTACACTGTTTCATCAACTTGTCAGAGATTGAGAATGTCCTTTAGTGTCTAAAATTGTACTGCAATGTCAACCTGGATGTCATGATTCAGATGAGATTTTACCTGTAAACAATAACACCTCACAGAAAGATTACAGAACTTAACTTCAACTGCCTAGCACACAACACAGAAGCAGGAAACGGGCAAAGGCCTCAGAATATCTGAAATAGATGTCACTTTAAAAGAGCCCAGGTAAGACCTCAACTCATAACCCACTACCCTTATTCTACACACAATACCAACAAACTGATTACCTGATCTGCAAACCTACCTCCCAACTCTGTTTCTCAGTTTGTAGCTAGAGTCTAACTTAGAACTTGGACAACACCAAGAAATGCTAATGCCTGACATAGAAGGAAATGAAAGAAAAGAACTCAAAAGGGCAGAACCATCTTGGGCCTCTTACTATTGAGATAAAGAGCCCTACGCAATTCAATTGCTTCTGCAGATACATATATAAACATCTGTTTAAAATGTTTGCTTCTTGAGAATAATACTCATTTATCTGGAAAACTCTGGGGCTGAAGAAATGAAAGGTTTTTCTTATTACAATTTTTACTCTTTTCCAAGTAAGCACTTTTCCTGTTATCAGTATTTTAAATGAATTAGAATTCATCAAAAACTTCTATAATGTAGAAGTTTCTTAAGACTGGAGTAGAGCTTTTCAAAAATTATTGTAACAATTTTAACCACCTGAGAATTTATCTTCTAAGTTGCACTGAGATGCATTTCTAAAGCTCTCTTTTGGGCTAAAAAGTATAATTAACATCTCTCTTTTTAAACCAAACAGACACTATGGAAAACAGAAATCTTTCCTCTCAGAACACTACTTCATAATTTTTGTACCTGGGATTACAGAAATTTTCATCAGGTTTTCTACAGACAAAACTTTATAAAGTGTTAGCAAAACTTTGTTATTCTAGTCATCTTTTCCCACACAAACTGATTATTTTATCTCTAGAATCCTTTAGCACAACTTGTGGCTTTGTAATTTCCCAGAGAAGCTAGACTGAGAACACTGTTCTTCCTGAACAGGAAAATCAAAAAAATCTCAGGTGTTTCTGATAATAAAATAAACTCTACAAAAATAAACTCACTAATTCTCAGGTGTTTCTGAAATGAAACTAAGGTAGTACACGCACTAAGGTACCACCACAGAGTAACGTGGTTACTATAGCAAAGGCAACAACTATCATAATCGGGCACTTAGTATGACACCTTATTGTGGCACTCTGAATAAAACGGCTAAAAAAAACCCCCAAACCCTAAGAATTCAGGGGCTTAAGGGAAGTCGTATAACTACAAACCAAGTTAAGTGTTCATGATTTTTAGGTTTACTGGAAACAGTTGCTCTCGGCTCCTGACAGTATGGAGCAGTGTGGCATTTTAAACTGGAAAGAAGCGCCGGTTCGCAGCCCAACGAACGCCCAGACCAAGCATTCGGGACGCTATCTGGCAGCTCCCCTCCCCCGTCATCTACCCACCTTTCCATTACAGTCTTTCTGCACTCATCTTCCCCCCCAAATCACAAATGGTCGCGATCAAATGGGAAGGAAGTTGCTCGTGCGAGGCAGTGCGCTACGTTTGTCAAAACTATAATCGATAATTAAAAAAAAAACAATGGCAGCCCCTCGCGGCCTGGTGCGTGCCCCCAAACGAGCTCATTTCGCCGTGCCCTTAACCTGCAACTGCAGGCATCTCGGAAAGGGAACGCGCGGGGTGGGGGTGGGGGCGTGGGGAAGACAAAGGACGCGGCTCGCACACCTCCAGAGCCGTTCTGTCCGTTTAGACAGAAAATGCGGACAACGCCACGCACCACCCGCGAGCACGCGGCTCTGCGGGGCGGAGGGGGATCTGTCCCCGGAGTTGGGGGATGGGGCACCCCCCCCAAGGAGCCGGGAGGGGCGGCGGGGTGCGGGGTGACCCTCCCTAACGGGCCCTTTTGTTCCCTCCCCCCGCACGAGGCCCGGGCCGCCCGGCGGGGGGCGCGGGGCGGGGGGCGCGCCCACCTCGTCCTCCTGCTCGCTGCGGAAGCACAGGCAGGCCGCCCGCTTCTTGAAGCCCTCGCGGTCGTAGGTCCTCGTCTGGTTCGGCTTGAACTTCATCATAGAGGCGGATTCCTCCTCCTTCTCCTCCCGCCGGGGTTCGGCCGCCGCCAACCCGTGCGAGGGCGCGGGGAAGGATGCGAGGGAAAGAGGGAGGGAGGAAGGAAGAGAGGAAGGAAGAAGGGAGGAAGGAGGGAGCGAGCGCCCGAGGGCTGGAGCCTGCGCCGAGGCCGGGGCCGAGGGGACGAGCTAACGAAAGGCTGCTCCGAAGGCACTAGAGCCCGCGGGCCGGGGAGGCTGCGCCGCTGCTGCTGGAGAAGCCGTGCCTCGCCATGGAGCCCCGCCCGCCGGCCGCCTCGTCTCTCCGTCCCGCCGGCCGTCCGACGCTCGCCGCTCGCCGCCTCCAGGCACTCGAGTCAGGCGCCTCGTGACCGCCGCGGACGGTTGGCAGCTCGCGCCGCGGCTCCTCCCTCGCGGCGGCGGCAGTGCTGGCACTGCGAACGGACGGCTCGCGCTCGCTCTCTTCCTGCGCTCGCGCCCCGCTCTCGCGCTGGTTCTCGCCGAGGGTTCTCGCGCTCTCGTTCACTCTCCCTCTCCCTTCGCCCCGCCCCCTTAGACCCGCCGCCACGCCCCTCTCTCCCCCTCTCGGGCGCGAGACCCCTCCTCGCGCGCACGCGATTGGCCCGGAGACCGAAACCGCGCTCCTCCCCCCTCCTAAACCGAGCCTCGCCTTCTCTAGGCGCGAGGCGACCTAACTAGGCCCCGCCTCCTCTCCCCCCTCCCTCTTTTTTTAATTGAACTTGGCCAGAAGCCTGCATGCTGCACTTGCGCCTGCGCCCTAAGGCGATTGGACGAGGGGGAGGCGGGGCTAGACGCAGCTGGGCCGAGGAGGCGGGTCCTGGAGTGGACCGCCCGCGGCGAGCGCGCGCGTATCTGCTCTTGAGGGTCGGCTGGCGGGCTCTGAAGGGTGGGGATCTGACCTGAAAGGAGCCGTGGAAAACACCAGCACCGTGTGCCTATGGTGGACCGAGCTGTGGAGAAAAGCAAGATAGTCTTTGCCTTCTAGCGGTTCACATTTTAGTCAGGTCAAGGAGCGTTTATAAAGCGCCTACCATGTGCAAGAGAAACAATGTATCTTAGTGGAGAGACAGCTAGGCCCCGGGTAGGTCTACGAGCGCCTACTGTGTGCGAGTGTGCCTTAGTGGAAAGAGAGCTAGGTCTCAGGGAAGTCAACCGGCATTTATTAAGCGCCTAATGTGTGCCAGGCGTTGTAACAGCTAGGGGTACAAAGAAAGGCCAATAAAAAAAATGCCCTTACTCTCAGATGGGGGTAAGCTGTGCTCTTCTCACTTTTGGAAATTATGTTTGATTTCACCTCAATTCGTGCAGCATTTATTAAGCACTTATCTGCAAGAGAAGAAGTGAATCTTACTGAAGAAAAAGCTAGGCTTCAGTGAAGTCAACAAGCATTTATTAAGGACCTACTATGTGTTGGCACCCTCAGTGTTGGGGATACAAAGAAAGGCACAACCCAAAAAATGGTTGTGTCCTCAAGGAGCTAGCTGTCTAGTGGGGTTAAGCAACTTTTTACTTATATCTGGAAATTATGTTTTATTTCAACTCAATTTGTGGAGCATTTGTTAAGTACCTACTAAGTGCAAGAGAGGCAGTAGTTTGCATAAAAAGAGCAAGGCCTCAGTTGTCAGCAAGCATTTATTAAGTGCCTACTATGTGCCAGGCACTGTGCTAAGTGTTAGAGATACAAGGAAAGGCCAAAACAAACCCCAGTAGCCTTTAGATCATATAAACATACAAACACTTAAATCAATCGACCAAAGAGTATTTATTAAAGGCATACTATGTGCCAGGTAAGGGCAACGAGGTGGCGAAGTGGATAGAGTGCCAGCCCTGGACTCAGGAAGACCTGAGTTCAAATCCAGCCTCAGACACTTATTAGCTGGGTGACCCTGAGCAAGTCACTTAACTCTGTTTGCCTCAGTTTTCTCATCTGTTAAATGAGCTGGAGAAGGAAATGGCAACAACAAAAACAACAATGTACCAGAACCCTTCTTCAAATATCAAATTTGACTCTCCAACAGCAAATCTAAAAATGCCATCTTTCTAGAGATGCCCACCTCTGAATAAGCTCTTTTGGAAGTTAGATACAAGTAGGGAAATGCTAGGAGGTTGAATCCCGTCCCTCCTCCATTACACGCCTCAGTCAAGTCCAAATACCAAGTCATTTATGTAGGGGAAGTCGATGAGCAAGGATTAAGCGAAGTACCTGAACAGATCTTATGAAGTATGGCTGGGACCTTTGCAATGCCAGCCTTGAAGTATGTATTACTGGTTTAGTTTGGAAAAAGTGGAAGCAAAGGCAAATTCAATTGAATTTGACAAGCATTTATTAAACTCCTACTACATACCAAGCACTGTATTTGCTTCTGAAGATATAAAGACTGGAAAAAAAAAGTCCCTGCCCTTAAGAAGCTTACATTCTACTTATTACTCGGGATAATTATAGCTTCTAATGAAAGCAATTTTAAGCAAAGAATATAAGCTTCATGAGGGCTCTGCTACCTATGCTACCTTGAGCAAGCCTTGGTTAATAATAATAATGGTTCAGTCATTTCAGTTATATCTAATTCTTCATGACCCTATTTGAGGTTTTCTTGGCAAAGATACTGGAGTGGTTTGCCATTTCCTTCTCCAGCTTATTTGACAGATGAGGAAACTGAGGCAAACAGAGTTAAGTGACTTGCTCAGGGTCATCCAACTAGTGTTTAAGGCTGGATTTGAACTCAGGACTTTCAGACTACAGGCCCAGTGCTCTATCCACCGTACCACCTAGCTGCCCTAATAATAATAACAACATAATAATAATCATAATTACAATAGCTAATATATATACACACACACACACACACATACATACATATATATATAGTCCTTACCATGTACCAGGCACTGTGTACTTTGCAATTATTATTTCATTTGATGCTCGCAGCAACCCTGGGAGATAGGTGAGATTTTACAGATGAGGAAACTGAGGTAAATGAGTTAAGGGGTTAGCCCCAGGGTCTTGGGAGGCTAGATTTAAACTTTGCCCTTTGTCTACTGCAGCACCTTGCTGCCCCAGTTTCTCTGGGCCTGTAAAACTGAAGGGGTTGAATTAGGTGGTCTTTTACAGGCCTAGATCCTTGGGGTTATTATTATTGTTGTGAGTTATGAGGAGACTTCATGTTCCTCCCCAGACTAGCATAGCAGCAACTAGAGAAATAGTTGTTTGATGAATGGGCATTTCCAGTGTTAAAAATGTGGTCTGTACCTGTCTAATTAGAGACTCTGTGCTCATTTACTCACCTAACGTGGCATTTCTAGAGGATAGGTACCAACTGATTAAAGACTGATTTTCTAAGATAATTGATCTGATTATAAGATAATGCAGTAAAGGTGGAAGGGAACTTAGACTGTGAGCAAGCTCTACCCTCCCTTTCCAGGGATGAAGTTACCCCTTGATAGGGTAACTGACTTGCCCAAGATCACACAGAACAAGAATTTTTAAAGTGTTTAAACATTTTTAAGAAAAATAACAAGTATTTTATTAATCTGTCACTCCCCCTATGCCCCCCTCCCCCAACCTTGAGAAATTTATTTTTAATTCCTCCATATGTATTTACACAGTCTGACAAAAACAAATCCCCACGTTAGCCGTATCTGAAAATGTATGTATATTTCTGCATTTTTGGAACTTTCATCTTCATTGTTTTGAACTCCTGCTTTGTCATTGCATTGAATAGAGTTTTAAAGTCTTCCAAACTTCTTTTTCACAGAACAAGGATTAAAATCTGGCTCCTCCAATGAGCACCAAATTCAAGGCCTTCCCAAGGACATCATGAGATTAAACTATCTTTTTATGAATAGCAGCAGCATTTCTGCTATTTTTCAGACAGTACTGTTGTGACTTTATAATTCTGATAAAGAAGAGCAATTATTTTTATCACATGCCTCCTGAAAAAAATAATCTACTTTTGGCATCTATAAATACCCCTGCTTTGCATGGTGAAATATTCCCTAAAAGTCAGGTGCAAAAAAAAAAAATTGGTCAATCACATCTCTTTATAATGTCCAGACCACAGTAGACACTTAATAGATGATTATTGGTGGATTGCTTAATTGCTACCTCATTTGAGTTAAAATGGCAAAGGTATTATGGACATTCCTTTTTGAGTTTTTGTTTTTGCTTGTTTGTTTTGTTTTGTTTTGCTTTTTTACTAGTAATGGCTTCCAACACTAGTTTGAAGCTTCCTTGATACCTTTCCTTGCCAACCTTTCAATGACATAGTTTAATAATTTAGAAACAAACACATATATGAGGAAATACTCGTACCAAAGCTTCTGATACTTCATGGTGTGTATAGGGGTAGGGTTGGTGGATTGAATGGGAAATAAAGGAATGGATAACTTCTCCCCTTACTTAAGGAAGCAAGCAGCAAGCATGTATTAAATGCCTACTATGTGTCATAAACTGTGCTAGGCACTAGGGATAAAAACATGAAACTGAAATAGATGATCTCTACCCTTATGAACCTTACATTATATTAAGGGGAATATAACATTTAGGGAATGGTGGCTGGGGAAAGGAATTTGGGGATTGTTGGGGGAGCCACAGCTTAATAGATTGCCACGTCCTTTCCCATGGCAATGATGATAATATTGATTTGATTGTTGTTCCCTGAGCGAGAGGTGGGGGAGAAGGTGGAAGCAATGTGGGTAGGGAAGCGTGTGGCAGATAGTCAGAAGCCTGTGTCCTTAAGTAGGCATCCTGGTGGATAGCTGCTAGATGGGCAACTGGGTTTGCCGTAGGGATGACATAGAGCATGAATGTGTGTATGTAGGGGACAAATGCAGACATTATGCCCCTTCTCTCTCACTGGATTCTAGTTTTTTTCAGTGAAATATTCTTGGGAAATGCTGTCATTTCCCTCCCCATTCTACCTCCAAGCTGAGAAGAGCACCCAGGGTACTCTGTGCATGTGAAATAAAAATAACTGACATTGCCATAGCTCTGTTAAGGTTTGCATGACACTTTCCATACATTATCACTTTTGAATTTCATCACCACTCTGTAAGGTCTTTTATAGGTATTATTATCCCCATTTTACATGAGGCTCAGGGAGGATAGGTGTTTGGTTGACAGACCCTATCCACCATGCCGTAGTGCCTAAATGGAAAATTGGGAAGATTTTGATGTGGAATGACCCACCTGATGTAGGTTT